ATCTTGTTAAAATCCTGATTTCTGGGCCTCACCCTCCGGAAATTCTATTTCTTTGTTAGTAATGATTCGGCCAAGAAATCAGAATTTTAACAAGATTCCCAGGTGATTCTAATGTGCAGCCAAGGTTGAGAACCACTGGTCTAGGGCAGTGGTCGGCAAACTGCAGCACCTTGAGTGTGGCTCTTCCAAAAATACCACGTGTGGTCGCACACGTACAGTGAGATTGAAAATTCGTGGCCACAATCAATGGGCCAAAGTGCCGCATGTGGCCCGAGAGATGCGGTTTGCTGACCACGAGTCTATGGGGTTAATAAAGCTGCTATAGACTTCCACGTGCTGGTTTTTGGGAAACAAAGATTCAGATTTATTTTAATTTATTTTTAATTGAGATGCAATTGACCTTACTCTTGGCATTTTAATTATGATGTGTCTTGGTGTGGTCCTCTTTGGATTCCTTTTCTTTGGGGTTCTCTGCGCTTCTTGGACCTGTAAGTCCATTTCTTTCACCAGGTGGGGGAAGTTTTCTGTCATTATTTCTTCAAATAGGTTTTCAAGATCTTGCCCTCTCTTCTTCTGGCACCCCTATAATTCTGATGTTGGTATGCTTGAAGCTTTCCCAGAGGCTCCTTACACTATCCTCGCATTTTTGGATTCTTTTTTCATTTTGCTTTTCCGGTTGGGTGTTTTTTGCTTCCTCGCATTTCAAATCATTGACTTGATTCTTGCGCTCCTCTGGTCTGCTGTCAGGAGTCTGTATAATATTCATTATTTCAGCCCGTGTATGCTTAATTTCTAGTTGGTTCCCCAATATAACATAGAGGGTCTCATTAGTTTTCTTGTAGATCTCATTAAGTTTATCGGCAGCTTCTAAACAGTTCTTGAGAGACCTTAAAAGTGTGGTTCTGAACTCTATATCTTCCATTGACAATTTTGTCCTGTTTCTTTGTCTCCGCATTTTGTTATGCTTCCTTGGTGCACCCCCTAGTGGTCTTTGTGTGCAGTCTTATAGTTAAACCTTGATTGTTGTAGCTAATACCAGGGAGGGTTTGACCTCCAGGCCAAGTGGCTATGAGAATCAGCTGTGTCAGCAGTGAGAGAACTTCTGTCCTCTAGGGAGGTGCTAATCTGGCGTTTGCCTGAGGCTATCCGGCAAATGCCTCCGTGCAGGGCTTGAGCAGGGCGGATCGAACAGGATCAACAGGGTGGGCCAGAGAGAGCAGTTATGGCGGCTCTCAGTCCTGTCCCAGGGGCTCTGCCTCTCTGAGTCCCAGCACCCGCTGCAAAGCTCGGAGAGAAAGCTGCACTCGCTCTGACCGAAGCCAGACAGTCCCGCTTCTCCCATTTGAGTCTGGGTCGCTAAAGACTCGCCCGGATCTGGAGCTCAGAGTCTGCGACTCCCTCCCAATTGAAAACGCCAACTGCACCCTCAGCCGCCAGCCCACTTCGCCCACTCCGCACCTCAGAATTTGACTTCAGCACTGCGCCTCCTCTGAGTGTCCGTATGCGTTTCTCTTTCCTCCTAGTTGTGGGACTTCCACTCAGCCAGCCTTCCTGTGGTTCTGGGTGATGTCCCTTCCGTCTTTTAGTTTCACTTTTGAAGTAGTTGTTCAAGGCAGCAAACTCTGGCGTTAACCTATGCCGCCATCTTGGTTCTCTGAGATGCAATTGACATTAATTAGTGTCAGGTGTACGACATAATGACCCTGTGGGGTGTATACTGTAAAGCCATCCCAGAATACTTCTCCTGACCTCAGCCATCATACGTGGCTACAAGTTTTGCTATTTCTTGTGCTGAGAACAGTTAAGATCCAGTCTCTCAGCTGCTTTCACAGACACAGAGTGACAGCACCCCCTGCCGGGTCCCCATGCTGTCCACACACCCAGAGCCAGGTAGTCACAGCCAGAAGTGTCCCCTCCTGCACCCCTTTACCCACTGGGACCACCCCCTTCAGCGCCCACCATGGCACCCCCCAATCTGCTATAGTGACAGCTGTGAATGGCCTATTTTTGTGCTTAAAACCACAGAGCAAATGGAAGCCCTTCGCAGGGATTAAAGGGAGTAAATCCTGATGGGATGGAACAGGGCCAGGGGTCCTTCCAGCACAGCACACAGTGCTGAGCCCCAGGCAGGGGCGGGCCCAGCCAGCTGTCACTCATCTCAGCCTCACAGGCCCAGTGAGTGCAGCCCAGGGGGAGGGAACGGGCCCGCGGGTGGGGAGAGGCCTTCCCTTCCTCCAGGACCCTGAGCCTGGGAAAGCACTGCTCTGAGTGACATGGAGGCCGGAGGGGAGGGAGGACCTTTCACCCCCAGGCAGGGTCCCCGGATGAACCTGGGCCCAGGACATCAGCGAGGGAATAAGCAGAAGCACAGGTCACAGGCTGAGCCAAGCAGGCAGCTGCTGGAGAGCTTACCACCTTGCAGACCTGAGGGGTTTTTGTCTCACTTCCCCACAGGCCTGCAGCACTGTGGGACTATAGATTCTACTGCTGTCATAGGACGCGCAGTAATAATCAGCCTCGTCCTCAGCCTGCAGCCCCGTGATGGTCAGGGAGGCTGAGCTGCCAGACTTGGAGCCAGAGAATCGGTCAGGGACCCCTGAGGGTCGACTGTTAGTACCATAGATGAGGAGTTTGGGGGCCTTTCCTGGGAGCTGCTGGTACCAGTACACAACGTGACTCCCAACATTGGAGCTGCTTCCAGTGCAGGAGATGGTGACCCTCTCGCCCGGGGACCCCGACACTGAGGATGGCTGAGTCAGCACAGACTGGGCCCAGGATCCTGCAAGAGGGGGAGACACAGAGATGGTGAGTCTGGGTGTAGAGACAAGAGGAGGAAGCAGGGCCCATGTGTCTTCCCAAGGCCCCTTCCCCGTCCCCTGATCCAGTCACCTGTGCAGTGAGCCAGGAGGGTGAGGAGGAGAGGGGCCCAGGCCATGGTGGAGGTCATCCCTGAGTCCTGCCTCCTGAGGCCCCACAGCTGAAGCAGAGCTCCCCACACCTCTCCCTTCCCCTCTTCATAGTCTGCGGGCGGGCGGGTCCTGTTATGCAAATGAGACCCCATCTATTTGATCCCTCCTGGGACCTGGGTCAGGGGTCTCTGCCTGAGGATGGCCCTGGGTGTGGGCAGGGCGGGGCTGTGTGGGGCCCAGGTTTGGGGAAGTCCCAGCTGACAGCCCTGAGCAGATGGTCCTGGGCTTTTTCAGGGGCTGGTCCCAGCTCTGAGCACCCAGATCCCTCAGGAGCAAACCCCCAGCACCCTCTAGTGTCCAGGCCCAGACACACCATTGAGTGATAGGGGGACCAGAACCCATGAGAGACCACCTCTGCCTTCCCACTGCTCTGTCCACTGCCCCTGCCCGAGGGACTTGCCAGGGTCCCCTCTATGGCCTCCCCTCACCTCAGGGCACCTTCGGTCTCTGCTCGGCGTCCTCAGGGGGAGTATGACCACAGCTCCCTTGGCTGGTCTGTGGTCCGGACTCAAGTGGCAACTCCTGCACCAACTCTTAGACCAGGGTCAGGGCTCAGGTCAGGGCTAGAGCAGGCACAGCCCCGTGGGGGCGCATCCCCTTCTGTTCGGGACTCGGTTCTGTCTTGTGTGGGATTTACTCCTGGTGGACGGAGGCCTCCTTCCCGTGGACCCAGGGCCCCGAGGACAAAGGGGCCCTTCCCGAGTGCTGGGCAGGGGGTGGGGAGGAAGCCCTCGGGGGCTGTCCTAGTCCGGGGTCAGGGGTCACTGTTATTTTCTGTCCATATTTCCTCCTCCTGACACCATCGTTCTCCATGAGCCGTGGGCTGAGGGTCAATCCTGGGACTGTTCTCAACGCACAGTCAGACGTTGGCATTTATCTGAGAGGAAAAGGGGAACATGTGGGACCTGCTTGTCAAAAAAATGTTGACATTTTCTAATAGCTGTGCTGGGGCTTCTTTAAAACTTTACACTATATTAGTCAGCACTCAGCCACCTTCAAATGCATGTATGTTATTATATGTGAAAGTCACAATAAGGCTGATTTATAAATTCTAGAATCATGCATATTGGTGGAAATTGTGGGCAGAGGAATTGATGGAAAAGCATTGGTAACGGAATGCCTTCTGCTCTGGGTTGAAAGGTGTGAATAGACGTTTTCTAACATCACTTTACATTTCAGTGGTGAGTTGGGAGCTGTGCGCTGTGGTCTGGTCCTGCTGGTTGGAAATCCCCAGTCGCTGCCCAGTGACCCCCACGAGGAGATTCTAGGAGCTTCCATCCGTCCCAGGAACAGAAGCTCCTCCCGCAGGCAGAGCTCCCAGGACAGAGCGGTGTCGGCGCCAGGCCTGTCTCTGGCGGCACAGCCATAGTCGCTGCCCCTGGCGTCCAGCATCCGCAGGACAGAACGTGTCCCCTCAGCCCCCAGCAGCAGCGGCCAAGGCCCACTGGCCCCAGGCGTTGCTGCCAGTGATTCGGCGTCTGAGTCGTGGAAAAGCACAAGGACAAGAGGGGACCATGTCCCTGATTCCCAAGCCCCGGTCCCTGGGTGGGGACAGAACCTCGGCAGCAGAGGCCCGTCTGGCCGGTGCTGCCCGAGGGGGGACTCCCTCCCAGTGGCCGGCCCTCTGCTCCCGCTCGCAGTTGCCCGGGTGGCAGCGCTGCTGTCATTATTTGCATTTTGCGGGTTCGCTGCTCGTGTGTAGAGAACAGGTTCTTGCTGCGTGTGGGTTTGTATCACAAAATTCCAATTTCAGGGCTCAGACCTGAATCCTCTCTCAGTCCCTGCTGCACCCTGCCCTGAGCTTGGCCTGAATCACCCTGATTTGACCTCCTCAGTGTCTCCCATGGGACACTGTTGTCTCCCAGGAAGGAGTTTTTGTCTCTGAAAACATGAACACAGCACGGACAGGAGAACAAGATATCAACCTGAAAGGTGAGGACAAAGGTGTGACATTGTCAAAACTACTGTCCACCCACAGTCAGGTGGCGGGTGGGGATCTGACAGCACAAGTCCCGGCTGAGCTGCACTAGGTCAGAGCCTCCAGCAGGGGGACCAGGCCAGGCCCAGGGAGCAGAGAGGAGGGTTTTGTCTCCCTTCCCTGTGGGTCTGGACCACTGTGAGAGTCTTGAAGTTGCCGTCCCATGTGTCACAGTGATAGTCAGCCTCGTCCTCGGGCTGCAGCCCAGTGATGTGCAGAACAGCCGCGTTAGCTGAGGCGTCTTTGGATCCGGAGAAGCGGCTGGGCACGCCCGCGCCCTGGTACTTGTCTGAGTCCGATTTGTAGGACAGCAGGTACCGGGGAGGGCTCGCTGGCTTCTGCTGGTACCAGACCATTCCATAGTCGCCAACATTGAAGCCACTGCTCAGGGTGCAGGTGAGTCTGGCTGTGGCTCCCGGAGATGCAGAGAGGGAGGGCGGCTGAGTCAGCACAGGCTGGGAGAGGGACCCTGCAGACACAGACACTTGTCAGTGATGGGCAGGGACCAGGGGACGTTTCCCAGGAGCCTGAGCAGGAAGGGAAGAAGCCTGGTCCCAGGCCTGTCCCTACCTGTGCCGTGAGAGATGAGCACGAGGAGCAGAGGAGTCCAGGCCATGGTGCTCACAGCCCTGAGCCCACCGTGGGGCTGGGCTGCCCAGGCCTCCTTTTCTCCCCCACCCTCTGCCAGGGGAGGGGCTGCCATGCAAATGGGGGTCCCTCGAGGGACTGCCCAGCCCCTCCCTCGGCCCTGGGGCTGGAGCTCAGCTCACACCCCAGACTGAGGAGCATGGAGGTGGGCTCACCCCTTGGGGGCCCTGGGAGGAAGCACCTGCTGGGACCACACAAGGGTCCCTGCTCAGAGGACGCGGCTGCTGCTTTCCCCTCAGGGAGCACAGAGCATGGCCATGGGGCTCCTGTCAGTGAATGGTCCTCACTGAGCAGCTTGCATGAACCTCAGGGCAGTCCCACAGTGCCACCTGCGGGTCACATGTGCAAAAATAAAAACACTAAGATTTCTAACCTTAATTTAAACACTAGAGAACCGGTGCACAAAATTCATGCACGGAAGGGTCCCTAGGCCTTGCTGGTGTTCAGGGCCGATCAGGTTCACCACCTCCCCACCTCCTCCTTCCCTCACTCCCTCAGCGCCCCACCACTGCTCCCCCTCCATGTTCCGCACCGCCCTCTGGTGGTCAGCTCACATCATAGCGAGCAATCAAACTCCGGTCTCCAGTCGAACTTCCTAGGGGACACTTTGCATATTAGCCTTTTATATAGATAGATAGATAGATAGATAGATAGATAGATAGATAGATAGATAACATTCTTACTTTCCTTGGAAGACACAAGTGTGGCTGCATCAACGATGGAATAACTAAGAGACCAATTTTCTTATAAAACAGAAAATGCTGAGGGACGACTTCACGGAATGGGAAAGGCAGTTTCACAGGCCCTGTCACAGGTCAGCAGATCTAATGGTTCCAATTCATTTTCATCCAAATTTCTCAAAAACATTTAACAAGTTGTACCCTGTCCTGGTTGCTTTTAAAGCCATTATCACAGCGACAAATGCTCCTGGAAATGATAGAAAACTAAAAATGACAGGAAATCATGCTAGATGTGGACACAGATGTCCTAAGTAACATGTCAGTACTGAGGTTCCAGGTCAGGATGAGCTGATGGGCAATGACCAAGGAGCCAGCCGCCGGCACAGGGACCGCAGGCCCTGCTGAGAGATCGGTCGCCTGCTTCCTAAGCTCCTGCAGGAACCGGGACACGCCCACGTGGACACTGGAGAGGCCTTGTCCCCAGCAGACCCGCAGCTTCACGTCTCGGGGTGACCAGCCTGGGGGCCACGTGAGGAAGCAGAGACCCAGATCCGATGGTCACACGGACAATGGGCCTCTCAACCGTTGGGCCACAGATTCAGGCAGTTTTCACTGAAACCAATGGAGGCTGGAGGGGAATTAAGTCATTAACAGGAGATGGGGGTGCGGGGTCTGAGGTAGGAGGAACCCTAACCAGCAGGAAGAAGGGTGCTTCCTGTCCTTGGAAGATCTAGGTATAAAAAATCACCAAACCAGCCTTTCTTCTTTTCGTAAGATATATGTTTATTGATTTCAGAGGGGAAGGGAGAGGGAGAGACAGAAACATCAATGATGAGAATCATGGATCGGCTGCCTCTTGTGAGGATGGAGGTCACAACCCGGACATGTGTCCTGCCTGACCAGGAATTGACCCGTGACCTCCTGGTTCATAGGTCGATGCTCAACCACTGGGCCACACCGGACGGGTCTCATCCCCTTTTAAAATCAGGCCCTTATTGGAGGACATCCCGCCACTCACAGCTGTCACACACTCCAGGCACCGACTCCTGGCTGCTCTCAGTCTAGACCAGCGGTTCTCAACCTTGGCTGCACATTAGAATCACCTGGGAATCTTATTAAAATCCTGATTTCTGGGCCTCATCCTCCGGAGATTCTGTTTATTTGTTAGTAATGATGAGGCCCAGATTTCAAGATTTTAACAAGATTCCCAGGTGATTCTAATGTGCAGCCAAGGTTGAGAACCGCTGGTCTAGGGCGTTAATAGAGCTGCTATAGACATCCTCATGCTGTTTTTTGGGAAACAGAAGACTAAGATTTATTTTAATTTGTTTATAATTGAGAGTAATTGACATTAATTAGTGTCAGGTGGACAACATAATGACGCTGTGAGGTGTATACTGCAAAACCATCCCAGAATACTTCTCCTTGACCTCTGCCATCATACGTGGCTGCAAGTTTTGCTATTTCTTGTGCTGAGAACAGTTAAGATCCAGTCTTTCGGCTGCTTTCACAGACACAGTGTGACAGCGCCCCCTGCCGGGTCCCCATGCTGTCCACACTCCCAGAGCCAGGTAGTCACAGCCAGAAGTGTCTCCTCCTGGACCCCTTCACCCACTTGGACCACCCCGTTCAGGGCCCACCTGTCAGAGGTGACACACAAACTCATTTTTTTGGTTGATTTTTCTTTGTTAAATGGCATTTAAATATATAAAATAAATATCAAAAATATAAGTCTTTGTTTTACTATGGTTGCAAATATCAAAAAATTTCTATATGTGACACGGCACCTGAGTTAAGCTAGGGGTTTTTCAAAATGCGGACACGCTGAGGTCAGAAGGTTCGCCATCACTGGCCCAGGGCGTCAGCAAGGGAATAAGCAGAAGCCACAGGTCATAGGCTGAGCTGAACAGGCAGCTGCTGGAGAGCTCACCCCCTCGCAGACCAGAGGGGTTTTTGTCTCACTTCCCCACAGGCCTGCAGCACTGTGGGTACCAGCAGGACTGTTTTCATAGGACTCGCAGTAATAGTCGGCCTCGTCCTCAGCCTGCAGCCCCGAGATGGTCAGGGAGGCTGAGCTGCCAGACCTGGAGCCAGAGAATCGGTCCGGAATCCCTGTGGGTCGTTTGCTACTCTGATAGATGAGGAGTTTGGGGACCTTTCCTGGGAGCTGTTGGTACCAGGACACATAGTCACCATACCCAACGTTGGTGCTGCTTCCAGTGCAGGAGATGGTGACCCTCTGGCCCAGGGACCCCGACACTGAGGAAGGCTGAGTCAGCACAGACTGGGCCCAGGATCCTGCAAGAGGGGGAGACACAGAGATGGTGAGTCTGGGTCTAGAGACAAGAGGAGGAAGCAGGGCCCATGTGTCTTCCCAAGACCCTTCCCCTGTCCCCTTATCCAGTCACCTGTGCAGTGAGCCAGGAGGGTGAGGAGGAGAGGGGCCCAGGCCATGGTGGAGGTCATCCCTGAGTCCTGCCTCCTGAGGCCCCACAGCTGAAGCAGAGCTCCCCACACCTCTCCCTTCCCCTCTTCATAGTCTGCGGGAGGGAGGGTCCTGTTATGCAAATGAGACCCCATCTATCTGATCTCTCCCTGGGCCCTGGGCAGGGCCCTCTGCCTGAGGATGGCCATTGGTATGGGCGGGGGTGGGGCTGTGTGGGGCCCAGATTTGGGGAAGTCCCAGCTGACAGCCCTGAGCAGATGGTCCTGGGCTTTGTCAGGGGGCTGGTCCCAGCTCTGAGCACCCAGATCCCTCAGGAGCAAACTCCCATCGCTCTCTAGTGTCCAGGCCCAGACACACCACTGAGTGACATGGGGACCAGAACCCATGAGAGGCCACCTCTGCCTTCCCACTGCTCTGTCCACTGCCCCTGCCCTAGGGCCAGGCCAGGGTCCCCTCTCGTGGCCTCCCCATCACCTCGGGGCACCTTCAGTCTCTACTTGGCGTCCACAGTTGGAGTCTGACCACAGCTCCCGGGCTGGTCCGTGGTCAGGACTCAAGTGGTGGCTCCTGCACTAACTCTTAGACCAGGGTCAGGGCTCAGGTCAGGGCCAGAGCAGGGACAGCCCCGTGGGGGTGTGTCCCCTTCTGTTCGGGACTCGGTTCTGTCTTGTGTGGGATTCACTCCTGATGGCGGGAGGCCTCCTTCCCGTGGACCCAGGGCCCCGAGGAGAAAGGGGCCCTTCCCCAGTGCTGGCCAGGGTGGGGAGGAAGCCCTCATGGGCCGTCCTAGTCCGGGGTCAGGGTCACTGTTATTTTCTGTCCATATTTCCTCCTACTGACGCCATCGTTGTCCATGAGCCGATGGCTGTGGTCACTCCTGGGATCTGTTCTCAACGCACAGTCAGACGTTGGCATTTATCTGAGTGGAAAAGGGGAACATGCAGGACGCGCTGAGCAAAAATGTGGTTAAAGTTTCTAATTGCTGTGATAGGGCTTCATTTAATAACTTTATATATTAGTCACCACTCAGCCACCTTCACATGCCCTATGTCAGTGGATAAGGCCCAGAAATCAGGATTTTAGAAAGATTCCCAGGTGATTCTCATGTGCAGCCAAGGTTGAGGACCACTGCCCTATATGATTGTGGTTGAAAGAGACTTAAGGGAAGAGTGAAAATGACAGGCACCTGGGAGGCAGGGGCAGCATGGCTGCTAGCAGTGGGAGTGACTGCTGAGCAGTGGGCGTGGCTTCTGAGCGGTGGGCGTGGCTGCTGAGAGGTGGGAGTGGCAGGTGTGGGGTGGGAGTGGCAGGTGTGGGGGGGGCAGATGCTCACCACCCTTGGCCTTGGTGCCCTCTCCTGGGGTGAGAGGTGGGTGTGGCACAGCCTGGGGCCCTTCCCCTGGCCCACGCCACCCTCACCCACTGTCACTGCGCTGGCCATGATGCTCGCTGACCACTGTGTGCCGTGACCGCCTCCGTGGGGACCTGGCTGAGGCTGTTGCCGCCGCTGCCCTGGACCTGGAGGGAGCAGAGCGGGCTGCTCAGGAGGCTGCAGAGCCTGCGCGCCCGGACCAGCTGGCTGAGGCCCCAGCAGCCCCCCTCTGCCTAGGGCAGCCCCTCTGATCCCGGTTCAGGGGCAAATCCTGTCCCTGCAGGGACCTTCCCAGGGACCCTGGGAACCAGCCCTCCCCACACCTGGTCACAGGCCGGCTGTGTGCAGACTCCACGGAGGCCCTGAGCCAGATGTTCTCCCAGCACCAGCGCTGTTGACCCTGACGCTGGGGCCGGCCTGTCCACCAGGCGCCGGACATGAGGACACCCCCCTGAGGGCCGGTTACAGGCCTGCCAGCCACGGAGCCCCCAGGAAAGGCCCAGCTGCAGCCCCATGAGGCACACAGCCCCTGCTGACCGCGATCAGAGAGGCGATCCCATCAGCCCTTGGGAGTCAGAGCCACATGAACTCCCGGGGGCTGCTCCTTTAAATGCATGAATGTCCCTGCGGGGCTGCAGGTCATGAGGGATCAGCACCAAGGGCAGCAGCCTCGGGCTCCAGTAAAGGCCCTCAGGACCCAGGATATGGAGGTTCCTGAATATTCTGACCAAGAATTCAGAGTCGCCCTCCCCAAGAAGACGAGAGAGATAAGCGACAGATAAGTAAACAATATCAGAACAAAGCATGAAAAAGTGAGAATTTCAACTACAAATACCAAAAAAGGGCCACCCCCTAAAATATCACCCTGGGCATGAAGAATGCAGAGCTGCCCAGGGGCTCAGAGACGCCCATGTGACACAGCTCACGCCCTTTGCCTGAGGCTCACAGGCTCCCCTCGGTCAAGGCCTGAGGCCAGCAGCTCCCACCCTCCAGGAGGTGCTCACACTTCACGTGCAAAGAGGAGGGTCCTGCTCACACTCCGCATCCACCGGGAGACCTTCCACTTCCTCAGGGACCTTTTGGTGACACATTCAGGCTCTGTCACTGTGAGGTTCCACGGACGGGACAGAGCCGGTGTCACTGAGCTGTCATTACAGTGTCCCGTTCACAATCCCATTGCCCCTGAGGGAAGGCTTTGGGTTCACATAAACAGATTATTCTTCTAGTAAAATCTGTTCAAGCTCAATCTAGAGTTTTCTCTCTCCCAAACTTTTATCCTTAGAATCACACTGTGAATCACATTACCTTCTTCAATATATTTTATTGGTGTCAGAGAAGAAGGGAGAGGGAGAGAGAGACAGAAACATCAATGGTGAGAGAGAATCATTGATTGGCTGCCTCCTGCCCACCACAAGCCCGGGCCTGTGCCCTGACGAAGAATCAAATAGTGACCTCCTGCTTCGAGCAGAAGCTACTGGAGAGTTCAGCCCCTCTCAGACCAGAGGGGTTTTTGTCTCACTTCCCCACAGGCCTGCAGCACTGTGGGAGCTTTGAGACTCCTGTCCCATGCTGAGCAGTAATAGTCGGCCTCGTCCTCAGCCTGCAGCCCCGTGATGGTCAGGGAGGCTGAGTTGCCAGACCTGGAGCCAGAGAATCGGTCTGGGACCCCTGAGGGTCGGTTGCTACTATAATAGATGAGGAGTTTGGGGGCCTTTCCTGGAACTTGTTGGTGCCAGGACACATAACCACGCCCAATGTTGGAGCTGCTTCCAGTGCAGGAGATGGTGACCCTCTCACCCGGGGACCCCGACACTGAGGATGGCTGAGTCAGCACAGACTGGGCCCAGGATCCTGCAAGAGGGGGAGACACAGAGATGGTGAGTCTGGGTCTAGAGACAAGAGGAGGAAGCAGGGCCCATGTGTCTCCCCAAGGCCCCTTCCCCGTCCCCTGATCCAGTCACCTGTGCAGTGAGCCAGGAGGGTGAGGAGGAGAGGGGCCCAGGCCATGGTGGAGGTCATCCCTGAGTCCTGCCTCCTGAGGCCCCACAGCTGAAGCAGAGCTCCCCACACCTCTCCCTTCCCCTCTTCATAGTCTGCGGGAGGGAGGGCCCACTCATGCAAATGAGACCCCATCTATTTGATCCCTCCCTGAGCCCTGGGCAGGGCCCTCTGCCTGAGGATGGCCATTGGTGTGGGCGGGGGTGGGGCTGTGTGGGGCCCAGGTTTGGGGAAGTCCCAGCTGACAGCCCTGAGCAGATGGTCCTGGGCTTTGTCAGGGGGCTGGGCCCAGCTCTGAGCACCCAGATCCTCAGGAGCAACCCCCCAGCGCCCTCTAGTGTCCAGGCCCAGACACACCACTGAGTGATATGGGGGCCGGAACCCATGAGAGGCCACCTCTGCCTTCCCACTGCTCTGCCCACTGCCCCTGCCCTAGGGCCAGGCCCGGGTCCCCTCTATGGCCTCCCCATCACCTCGGGGCACCTTCAGTCTCTGCTCGGCGTCCTCAGGGTGAGTCTGTCCACAGTTCCCTGGGTTGGTCAGTGGTCAGGACTCAAGTGGCGGCTCCTGCACCAACTCTTAGACCAGGGTCAGGGCTCAGGTCAGGGCCAGAGCAGGGACAGCCCGTGGTGGCGCGTCCCCTTCTGTGCGGACTCGGTTCTGTCTTGTGTGGGATTCACTCCTGGTGGCGGGAGGCCTCCTTCCCGTGGACCCAGGGCCCGGAGGAGAAAGGGGCTCTTCCCCAGGGCTGGGCAGGGTGGGGAGGTTGTGGGCTGTCCCAGTCCGGGGTCAGGGGTCACTGTTATTTTCTGTCCATATTTCCTCCTCCTGACACCATCGTTCTCCATGAGCAGTGGGCTGTGGTCACTCCTGGGATCTGTTCTGAACGCACAGTCAGACTTTGGCATTTATCTGAGAGGAAAAGGGGAACATGCAGGACGTGCTGAGCAAAACTGTGCTTAAAATTTCTAGTTGCTGTGCTAGGGCTTCATTTAATAACTTTATATATTAGTCACCACTCAGCCACCTTCACATGCATGCATGGCCTGGCCGGCGTAGCTCAGTGGTTGAGCATCAACCTTTGAACCAGGAGGTCATGGTTTGATTTCTGATCAGGGCACATGCCCAGGTTGCAGGCTCCATCCCCAGTAGGGGGTACACAGGAGGCAGCTGATCCATGATTCTCTCTCATCATTGATGTTTCTCCCTCTCCCTCTCCCATCCTCTCTGAAATCATGCATGGTATTGTATATAAACGTCACTTCAATAAGGCTGATTGAAAAATTCAAGGATGGTGCATATTGTTGAAAATTGTGGATAGAGGTATTGAGGGGAAAGTACAGAAATGCAATGCCTTCTGCTCTGGGTTGAAACATCTTTTGTCTCACTTCCTGTGGGCCTGGGCCACTGTGAGAGTCTTTGAGTTCAGGCAATTTTCGCTGACAACAACAGAAGGCTGGAAGCAAATTGTCTGCTGAGAATAATTGGTATTATATCAATTAAGATGAGATTGGGGGGCGGGTCTGAGATAGGAGGAACCCTAACAAAACAGGAAGAAGGATTCTTTACGTCCTTTGAAGATCTAGGTATTAAAAAGAAACTCCAAACCAGCCTTCCTTCTTTTTTTAGGATATATTTTGATTGATCTCAGAGAGGGCGGGAAAGGGAGAGAGAGAGAAACATCAATGATGAGAGAGAATCATGGATCGGCTGCCTCCTGCATGCCCCC